TTAGAAACATTGACCCAATCAATGGGTGCATTTCCATTCTCTGCTCCACCCCCCCCACACACCTTCATCCCTGACTCCCTCCCTGCTCTCATCCTAAACCTCCTCCCCATACAGATTACTGCCTGACCACTAGCTATGGCTATCTGCATGGCACTAGGGCAGCCCAGGGCCACACTGCTGCCATGTAGCTACATCTGCCTGTACTCACAACATCCCCTGTGCTGATGCTCCAGCCTCCTAGGAAATAAAGCCCTGCTCATATAGGCTTGTCTCTGTAGCACAGCTTCCTCATCAATGCCTAGCCATGAATTACCATTATTGGTATATTAGGAGGAAGTTGCACAGTTGAGGTTTGAACTCAATGAAAGGACACTTTCTAATACTTAGAGCTGTCCCAATGTGGACTGAGCTGCCTAAGGACAAAATGTGTGAGTTCTCCATCACCTGAGAGGTCTCCCAGACCACTAGGCTTGCCTTAGCCTAACCTACCATCATCCCAGGCAGTAATCCCAGGAAAGATGGGGCCAGCCATCCCCACTAACTGCTGGCCAACAGCCACCCTTAGGCATGCTAGTTAAAGCAGTAAAGTGCCCTGAGGAGAGACAGGAGGCGGCATGTGCCAGTTAAGACAAGCTACAACACTCTTAACTACTAGCTCCTGCTCAGTATCTGATGGAGACAGCCCAGTACCCTGAGCCCAGGACCCAGGAGTCCAGGGAATATTGGTGATGCCCAGAGCTGTGGTCCTGCATCCAGCCCAGGCCTTGCAACCAACATCTGGGGAATCAGCCCTGCCTGGTGCACTTGTCATCTGGTTAACTACTGCAGGTATTAAACTTGACCCTTTCTTCAGCTGCCACAATGCTCAGAGATGACTGCCACATACATTCAGAAAAAAAATGACCACAGATAGCCCAGAAGAGAAAGTCTCTGCACTGGTTCAACATCAGAAATGGATGTATTTGTCAACAGAAAGATACTAAGGAAGACATCCCATCGGCTTTGCTGCTGCATCGTAAGGACCATGGATGGGGCCTTTCCAACCGACTTACACCTGAGACTATTCCTAAGGGCTGTCCCCCTCTCAAGTGCTGGGGATTCAGACACAAAGAACCAGACAGTCCCTCTCTTAGGGGAAGACAACAAGGATATATATAAGTATATGCAGAATAAATATGAAGAGAATAATTACAAATAAGTATAAGGTCGTTAGAGAAGGAGAATGAAGAAAGACCTCAGAGAGAAAGCGATAGCTGAACTGTGTCTTGAAGGAAGAGATTTTTTTGGAGGCAATTGGGGTTAAGTGACTTGCCCAGGGTCACACAGCTAAGTAAGTGTCTGAGGCCAGATATGAACTCAGGTCCTCCTGACTTCAGGCTGGTGCCCTAGCCACTGTGCCACCTAGCTGCCCCAGAAAGAAGAGACTTTCTGCTAGGTCAAGGCGAGAGGGAGTGCACTCCAGGCATGGGGGTCAGGACAGGGCAGTATCCCGTGTGAGGGGCAGATAGAAGGCCAGTTTGGCTGGACTTCGGAGGTCAGGAAGGGGAGGGATGTCGGTTGAGGCTGGAAAGGTAGGCTGCCCCCAGATTATGAAAAGCTTCAAAGCTAAGCAGAGGAATTTGTATTTGACCCTGGAGGCCATAGGGAGCCATTATGTTTATTTATTAAAAATGAGTGGTATAACAGAGGCACAAGGAGGAATTTTCAAAAGTAGAGCACAAACCATGCCTGAAATAAGTGACATGAAATGAGGCCTCAAGTCACCTTCCTATCCAGGACACTCAGGGCAGGTGGGGTGGGGTAGGCTGGGGTGGGGGTGGGGTGATGCCAGTGAGGCCTAACCTGGTCGGGGAAGAAGTGGTAGCTTCTGAGGAAGGAATTTATAATTTTCACATTAATTGATATGATATGTGTAATGAGTATACCAATAATGTAGTTTTCTCAAGAGCTGTCTGGCTTGGGAGTCAGAGCTCACAATGCAGCTTAAAATGATTAATCAAGACTCTGACGAGGCCCACAATCACTGGACCTTAAGTGAAGCGGATCAAAGGCTGTAGAGCTCTGGTTCTGTACTTTAGGGGAGGAGGACACAACCCCACCTCCCCCAAAGGCTTGGCTCCAGGATTCTTGTATTGTCGGACTTAGGGCTTTCTCGAGGGAAATCGCTAGACAATTGTCTGTAATCCACCTTCCTCAATTGTGATTCAAGGATATAACCTGTGCTTTTACCTCAGCAAAGAGACCACTCCTCACTCTGAAACTGATTAATTCACCGGCTACCTGATTACTGGCACTCCCGTTTCTAGGGCTCTGAGTGGGGATCCGAGCATTCGCAGGTTAGAGACTGGCTCAGTAAAAATCCTGTGAACACTTCTCATTTTAATGTGCTTCCTGCTAACAAGGTCCTTTTGGTGCCCCGGGAAGTTAGCACCCAAGCACAGGTCCCCAGCTGTGCTGCCCTGGTTATGGCTCAGCAGAGTGATGCAGACAGCGTCAGCTTCAGAGGGCTCAAGATCATCGACATAATCTTCTCACTAGAAATGCCGCTAAAGAGCGTGTCTCCTCATCCCAAAGAGGGAATATGCTTTTAGAACCCTGACGTGTTCCCTCAAAGTCAGCCGCTAGTAAGGATTTCCCCACCCATCCTGATACAGCTGTCAGAGATGGTCCCCCAAGGCTGCGCGCCCTCGGGCTGCTCTGTCCCAGGTGCTTGCCTTGATCACTGCGGCCTTTGACCTCAAGGATTTGCCCAGCCGGCTCGGGCTTGGCTTTCAGCAGCAGAGGCCTGGCCAGCCTGCTAGAGCTGACTTGGGGCAGCTGAGAGGCGTTGACCCGGCTCCCCTCACAGATGCATTCTGAGGCAGCAATGAGCAAGATTTCCTTATCTTTCAGAAAAATCAACTGTAATGTGGTCAATGTTTTACCAAGTGGAAAAAGCATCACTTTGCAGAGATCTGAAGGGCTTGCAAGTTTCCAGCTTTTATTTAGCTTTCTCTTGGTAAAGTGGAACAAATCTGTGTCTTTATGGACCAAACCAGTGATTCCGGTGAGATGGGGAAATCCCAATTTGGCACTCTCTCCACCAACGCAGATCAATGCCTCCTCTGCAAACCTGGAGTCTCAGCGAGTCATCAAGGGCAGGGGTGGGGGAGTGGGGTGTGTCGTATAGGACAGGATCATGTAGCCAGTAGGTGTTAGAGGCAGGTCTTCCTGACTCAGAGGCTGGCAATCAATCCAAATGAACCATACCACCCTTGGAAATGCCACATAAAGAAGCGTCAGCTCTCAAGGCTTATAAAGGGCATTAGAAGCACCATTTTGTATGAACCTCACAAGAATTCGGTGATGTCGATACCACTCGCTGACTGGTCGTCTTGTCTCCAGAAGCTCAGAAGAGTTAAGTGGTCCATGTTCCATAGTCACACAGTGAGTGCCAGAGCCAGGGTTGGAACCCCGGTCTTCTCCTCATGCCAGGTTCCTTACTTTTTTTCTTTTTTGCTTGCTAGAATAAAATATATTGAAGCAAACAAGCATGTTGGCTACTTGGGACAATGCATGCTTCATTCTGCACCCGTGGTCCCTGTGTTCTTGCTAAGAAAAGGGAGGTTTGCTTCACTCTTGTCCTCTGTACACCTGGAAGGTTCTTAAAGGTCGTCTAGTCCAATGACTCCATTTTATAATAGTCAGTCTATTGTCAATAAACATTGATTAAGCACCTGCTACATGTCAGGCACCAGGAAATAAGACTGTTCCTGCCCTCGAGGAACTTACAGCCCAACAAAGGCTTGGGGTAGGGGAAAGAGGGGAGCTGGGTGGGGCTACTTTTGTTCCTCCACAGAGAGGTAGGTTCCTACCTACCATAGGCGTGGAACGCGGGCGTGGCCGCTGCCCCGGCTGGCTTTGCTTCTATGAGGGAGGTTTGGTTCATTTGGTATAATTCAGAAAGCCAGAAATGACTGATCAAAGAGGAATGAGATATCCATTTATTTATGATTGGTAAGCTAACTGTAAAAATCTGGGCCACCAACTCAAAGAGTGAATAAGTTTCTCTGATCCAGTCAGTGGAAGAGGGTTGGAAATTGGCCACACCCTAGAGTGAGGCTGCTGGGGCTCAGAGGGTTTTTGGGGTCCAAGCTCAGAGCCATCTAAGGGAACATGACTCCTGCGCCCCTTCACTCCAACCCTAACCCTTCTGACTTTAGCCATTGGCCATGGGCTAGCAAGTACTGGCCCCTTCGGTAGGTGACACCCAGTCCAGAAGTCCGAGAAAATTTGGGGCACCCCAGAGTAAACAGAGACACATGCTCTTTTCTTTCTTTCTTTCTTTCTTTTTTTGGTTAGGTAATGGGGTTAAGTGATTTGCCCAGAGTCACACAGCTAGCAAGTGTCTGAGGCCGAATTTGAACTCGGGTCCTCCTGACTCCAGGGCTGGTGCTCACAATCTCTTTTAGAAACACAAATTCGGAGAGGCACAGACCTTGGGAGCCCAGGGAGAGCTAGGGCAGCTCATTAGTGCAATGGCTCGAACTCAGCGCCTGTGAAATGCAGGAGCTGGCCTAGGTAGGCTGTAAGGGCCCTTCCCAGCTCTGGGTCTGTGATCCTCTCAACCTCTTTCTCAGCACCGAGGTTGGGAGGGGAGATGGGCGCAGGGTGGTCCTTGAATGTCTAGGCAGTAACCCAGAGATGGTGACAGATACACCCATATCCAATGAAGTCCATTGCATTGGAGAGCTGGCCTGGTGTCGGGTGGGGCTCCTGAAAATGACCCTTGGGCGAAGGACCAGAACAGCATTGGTCTCCTAGCTTGCTAGGAGCGCCAGCTGGCTGTGGGTTTGGCCTTTCTGGATAAACTCAAGACTGGCTGCCTATATGCTTCAGGATGGACTTTGGCCAACTGAAAAGTCACCCTGGTTTTATTTTTGCTTTCATTTCCTGTTCTCAGTCCTTCTCTCTTCTTCTTTCCCTTCTGAATTCATTTCTTCCTCTTTTGGCTCCTCTGGGATCTCTCTCCATGCCTTGGTCAGTTTTGAGGAGAGAAATGTTTGGCGGAGGAAGCATTCCAGGTTCATTTAATCCTCAGGGCCAGCACCTGGATGTTTGGGCGGCCTGGGCACCAAAAGTGTGAAGGCTGCTGAAGAGATGGCGTGAGGCCCACCTGACCCTCTGAGTCTAAGATAACAGGGCCCTGGAGCATCCTGGAGCTGCTCTGTGTGAGCTGGATTTCAGCCTTAAGCTCTATTGGAGGTAAAGGAGAGTGGTTCACTGTGGCTGGCCTGGACAGAATGATAGGATAACCTTGGTCTTTGAGGGATAGGGGAAGAAGTTGCTGGGGGATCCCCTGGATAACTAGGGAGCTGAGACAGAGGGGTGGACTGGCTTTCTGCCTTGAACAGATCTCCATGGGAGCATAGATTTGGAACTGAAAGGGGCCTTACCGGTCATAGTTACAATCATAGTTCTTTGGCTGGACGTTACCTCAGAAGTGAGTTAGTCAATGTCCTTATTTTTACAAATGTGGAAATGGAGACCCAAGAAAGGTGAAGCCAATCAATCCACAAGCATTTATTAAGCACTGACTATGTACTGGACATTGTACCATGCATTGGGGATACAAATACCAAGGTGGAACGTCTCTGCCTTAAAGGGACTGACATTTGACTCGGGGAGATAACAGGAACACATCTGTCTACAAAAGAGAAAAGGCTTCATGTAGAAAGAAATCCTTGAAGGAAAGCCAGTCTTTCAGGAGGTGACTGGGAGGAGAAAGTCCTTTACAAGCCAGGGGGACTTCTTGAGAAACAAGATGGCGGGTTGGGTGTGGGGAAATATGGCTCAGGGCTCCAGAGCAGAGTGCTGGGAGGGCAGGAGTATGAAAGGAGGCTGGGGGGGAGGGGCATGAAGGGCCCCCTTGCAAAGAGATGTCAATATTTATATTTGGTATTAGAGACAAGAAGGAACCACTGGAGTTGGTTGAACAAGGAGTGACAGGGTCAGATCTGGGCTTTAAGAAAATCCCTCAGGCAGCTGTGTGGAGGATGGATGGATGGATGGATGGATGGATGGATGGATGGATGGATGGATGGGCCAGAGGAGGGGCTTCTCTGAGTTCTGGCAGAGTCCAAGGGCCATGGGAGCCGAGGCTCAGGCAGGAAGGGAGCTCAGCCCCAGGGCTCTCTAACACCCACCAGGGCCCTCCAAAGCAGCTATTGAAGGTGGGAAATCCAAGCCCTGATTTCTTCTTGAGCTTGGAATCAAGGTCAGTGCCTAGATTAAATCAAATAGTCCGGAATGTGATCCGTGGTTTGGAGTGTGAGCCTCTCACGTGTCACTGGCTCCCAGAGACCAGAGAGATCTGATACTGTTTTATAGGAAACATGTAAATCATTTCCTTGAGGTCCTTACATAAATGCTCTCCCCATCCTCCTCCATCCTCATAGCAGGAATAGCTAGTGATGAATTGGAAGAGAAGCTGGGTGCCTGGAAATTGCAGCAGGTTTGTGGCTCCAGGTGGGGGGGGGTGGCTTAAAATTAATGTGACAGCATATGTGTGTGTGCACTTGAGTGTGTGTGTATGTGAGAGTGAATGAGTGTGAATGTAAGTGTGAATTGTGTGGGTGTATTGTGTGAGGATAGGTGAGTGAGTCTGTATATATATGTATGAATGTGTGTGAGTGGGCATGAAAATATGTGAATCTGTGTAAGTGTATGTCTATATGAATATGTGAATGTATGTGAGTGGGTATGAATATGTGTGAGTGTATGTATAAGAGTTGGTATGTGAGTGTATATAAGGTTGAAAGTGTGTGATGGGGTGTGTGTATGAGTGTAGGTGCATGTGAGTGAGTGGCTGTGTGAGTGAATATGTGTGTAAATGTGTGTGTGTGTATGTGTGAGTGGGTGTGAGTGCTGAAGACCAGCTGGGCAGTAAAAAGCCACCAAGCAGCTTTGTTTGTAATGGAAAGAACATTTGGCAGTCACCCAAGACCTGGGTTCAGATGTTTCCTGAACCACTAGCTGTGTGATCATGAGGGAATCACTTGGCCAACTTGAAATTCAGTTTCTTCATGTGAAAAATGAGGAGAATGGTAGCATGTGCACCTCCTGGAAATGACATAAGGCCTGGAAAGTCCACTGGGGTGTCAGGGATGTCATCATCATGAGAGACATAATGAGAGGCATCATGGTGGAGGGGAGAGAGAGTGAACCTCAGAGTCAGAAAGACTTGGTCTGCCATGTTCTGGCTGGGTGACCCTGGCCAAGTCACTTGTACTCTGAGCAACTTTGGAAGACTATACAATGGAGAGAAATGCCCTGGGGGAGGGGCTCTTCACCAGCAGCTCACTCCATCCATGGAACGCCAGCTCTACTCTCCTTCTTTAGCCCTAGTTGTTATTATTTGCAGGGATGCGACTTCCTTCTGAAGATAAACATGATTTCACTGTCTTCATATATGAGGTCAGGCAAGGGGAAGGAGGAGAATTGTTTTGATCTTTTAATTGCTGAATTTTGATGGTTTTTTTCTCCATCCTAATCGTTCTCCACCTCTCTGCCAAGTTGAACAGTCATGGTGGTCTGTGCATTGCCGCCTGATCCTGGTTCCTTTCTCCTCTCTGGGTTGTCCTGCTCTTCCCTGGCTCAGCCTCTAGCCGCCTGCCTGCTTCTTCTCAGTCTCCCTCCTGGATTCCTCACCCGCCTCATTTCCACGTCATGTTCCCTCTGGGTGTTCTCCAAAATTCGACTCTGATTTCTCTCCTCTTTTCCCTCTATGCTGTCTCTTTCCTGGTAACCTCGAGGCCTTCCAGGGGTACAACTATCATTTCTATGCGGATTGCTCTCAGCTCAGTGTACACAGTCCCAGTCTCTCCCCAGGCTTCGGTCTGACATCATTAGTTGCCTATTGGACAGTTCCAAGTGGATGTCCCAGAGTTATCTCCAACTCGATATGCCCCAAATTGAATCCATTCTCTTTCCCCTCCACTGTTCCTTTTTCCTCTTTCTGCAGAAGATGCCAACCATCCTACCAGCCTCCCAGGTTCATAACCTTCCCATTATCTTCATCTCCTCTCTGTCCCTCACCTCCCATATACAGTCAGTGGCCAAATATTGTGAAAATAAAACCAGACTGGTCTGGGGTGATGTCTGTGGTCTCTATGCCCCTCTGTATACTAAAGTCAGCAAGAATGAAGATAAAGGGTGGGAGTGGGACTGAAGGAAAAGCCTGTGAGCTAGGTCCTGAAAATCTTGAGAAAAGAGGGAGAATGGCCTGGGGTCAAGTAGACTCTTTCAATAAGGAGCTAGATGCCACGACAGACAGAAGGAAGGAACCTCTGAGGGTGAAAGGCTGTCACCAAAGGGAAGTATTTGGAAGTAGAAGCAAGAGCTCACAGTACTGAGGGTGGGGCGGGAGAGGGTGTGTGCCAAATGCAGGAGGGGGTGGCCAGGGGGGCAAATACCAAGGTGGAACGTCTCTGCCTTTAAGGGACTGACATTTGACTCGGGGAGATAACAGGAGCACGTCTGTCTACAGAGGAGAAAAGGCTTCGTAGGGGCAGCTAGGGTGCCACAGATGCAAGGAGAGAGGATTATGAGAAGAGGGTTAATATGTTGGACAATTTGTCAGTGTGGGAGCTGGGAGGTTCCAGAGGCACGATGGAAGGGGAGGGCAGAGCGAGGAGTTGCAGGCTGGTCCTTAAAGGGTAACTGCGCCTGCCAGCGCCCGTCTCTCCAGGGCTTGCGGACTCTTCTTAATCATCACCCCTGCTCCCAAACAGGGCTTCAGGACCCCTCTGAGGCGGAGTCTGCCTGGGGAATCGCTTGCTGGAGCAGAGCAGTAGTTCTCATCAGCGATCCTTTAGAAGGTGCTGGACTGCAGGCAGGGAGACGAAAAACTCAGCTCTTCGGACGTTTTCTGAGAAGCAGCTGGAGAACTCAGTGCCGTTAGTGTCCAGGGAGGTTTCCCACCCAGGTGCCAGATGTTCCCCACCCCACCCCTCAAAGGAGAGGCTTGGGAGGATACAAGATCACGGAGCTAAAGGTGACCTAGCCCAGACCCCTCGTTTAACTGAGATCACACCGCTAGCCTGTGTTGGAGCCGGGCTGCCGGTGTCCCAACCTCATTCAGATTCTCTCCTTTCGGATGACGAGAGGGAAGCGTCGGGGCTGCGACAGCAGGAATCCCCAGACGGTGTGATACCCATTTCCTCTGGAGTCGGGCAGTTCCCCTCAGTTTGATCACAGTCTGCGACCTTTCTGTGGAAAGGCCTTCAAGAGTGAAGGAGAGATATTCGCACCCTGTGGGAAATTGAGAAGGGGCCCTAACCCTGTTGCGGTGCAAAGACCCCAGGAAGCTCCGCCCAGCCCTGGCAGTTGGGGCTGAGCTGGGGAGGAAGGAACTCGTACTGAGATACTGAGGAAGTCTAGGAGCACAGAGAGCAGCACCCAGACTAGCGCACAGTTCAGCTGTGCGAGAAGAGAGGAACAGAGCAAGGGAACCCTCCGTCCGCTTTGTATCTCACCACCACTGATCATATCGGTGAGTATCCCGGCTGGCCCTTAGAGACCCTAGGGGGCAAGGTAACCTGGGGTGGGGGAAGGAAGGGGAGAACTCCCCAAGGGGTCAGAGGGAAAGTGCATGCAAGGTGACCTGTGCATGTAATAAATAGCAGTAATAACTGTTATTAGGCTATGCTAGCAATCATTCTGGTTCGAGGGAGTGCAAATCCAAGAATATCTGAAATTCTGGGAGAGGGGCTTTGAAACAAGCAAGAGGAGCCCTGCTGCGACTTAAGGGGGAAAAAAAGAGCATTCTTTGACTTTGCCAAAGTGACTAGGGCTGAGAAGTCAGGAAGACCTGAGTTCCAATCCTGTCTCAGACATTAGACTATGTGACCCTGAACCAGTCACTTAACTGCCTTTAGACTCAGTTTCTTCCCGTGTAAAATGGAGATGATAATAGCGCCTATCTCTCAGGGCTGTTGCTAACATCAAATGAAATCATCGAGGTGAAATGCTACCCGCATATAAGCAATGACTGGGAATTTTGCATGACCTCAGTGAATGGGAAGCCAGGCAAGGAGCTGAACTGAAATTTCTGGGTAGCTCAAGTTTCACTTATCAGCCTCGCTGAAAATCCTCTCAGTTGTGTTGCAGACATCTTTCCTCAGTCTCCAGCACAGTCAGCCAGGCGGTATCTGGAGGCCGAGATCCTGGCTTTGAATCCTGCCCCTTTTTCTTCCTCTGGGAAATGAAAGGGAGTTCCTTCTGCCCTAGATCTGGGATCCTGCGACTGGGCTCTCACTCTGGGCCCTGGTGCTCTCAGGGTGGCATGTGCACAGTACAGCGGAGGAAATGCTGCTTTGGGAGTCACCGGTTTGGGGTCAAATTCTGCCTGCGACTCTTATCGCAAGACCAGGCACTTTCCTTCCATTTCCTCATCTAGAAAAGGAGGGGGTTAGATCAGTTGGGATCCCCTTCAAGTCTAGATGTCTGGTCTTGTGACTTCAGTCTCCATCAGTGAGGAGTGCCGATGAACATGAGGACGTGTCTGCGACTTACTGTAATTGTCTCGGAGATCGAGGCCTATTTATGTGATAAGCATCCCCTGTCCTGCTGCATCTCCCTGAGAGCCCTAGGCCTGGGGCAGCGTTGGGCGCTGCTCAGTGGAGAGCTGAGTTCCCAGCCCCACTGTTGACATTTAAGAACTCCATAGATTTTTTTTTGTTGTTGGTATTTGTTTGTTTTTTTACAAATCACTTAAACTGAGCCTCAGTTTGAATATAATGCTATCTGTACTATCTACTTAGTTCCCATTTGTTGGTTTAGAAGCAAGGGTTTGTGTGTGTGTGTGCGCGCGCGTGCACGCGCACTGGGAAAGCCAGTTGTTAAATTCTCAGCGTGAGCATTTATATCCCAGAAATCGGCAAACATTGTAAATCAGGGCTTGATTGACTGTTTTGTTAATTGTCCAGACTTAAGAAAGTGATGGAGGAAATTTTAATAATGCAGATCAAATTGGAAAGTGTGTCTTGGGTATATTTAGTTGTTTTCTTTTCCCTCAGACAGTCAGTTGTTAAACATTTACCACCACTCCCAGTTGAGAAGTCAATCGAGCATTTATGAAGGGCCTACTTTGTACCTGGTGCTTTTCGGGGTTCTGGGGAGACAGTCACAGAAATGAGACATGCCCTGCTCTCAAGGAGCTCACAGATGACAAAGTGTTTTGTCCTCATAGCTGTGTGACCCTGGGCAAATCACTTCACCCTGTTTGCCTCAGTTCCCTCATCTGTAAAGTGAGCTGGAGAAGGAAATGGTGAACCACTCCAGTATCTTTGACAAGGAAACCCCAAATGGGGTCACAAAGGGTCAGACATGACTGAAAAAAAAAATGACTGAACAAGCCTGTCGGGGTAGCTAGGTGGTACAGTGGATAGATCACCGGTCCTGGAGTCAGGAGGACCTGAGTTCAAATCCGGCCTCAGACTTTTGATACTTACTAGCTGTGTGACCTTGGGCAACTTAACCCCAATTGCCTAGCAAAAACCAAAAAAAAACCAAAACAACAAGTCTGTGAATTAAGCAGGACAGGCATTATTATTCCCATTTTAGGGCAGGGGAAACTGAGTCTTACAAAATGCTAGATGGCCTACACTGAGCCACACAGACAGTAGGTGGGAGACTCCAGGGTTAACACTCTTTTTATTTGGGTTGAGTAGGGATGTACTGGAGAGGCAGTGGATAGAGAGCTAATCTCTAAATCTGAAAGACCCGGGTTCAGGTCTCTCTTCTGATTCCTCTGGTGTGCAGGGGCCAAGTTGGGGAGGCCTCTGTGGGTCCCCAGGCAACCCTCTAAGCTGTGTGAGTGGGAGGAATTACTCATCACTTGTCCCCTACACCAATGGAAGTGGAAAGGGGGGGAAAATGGCTTAGAATTAGGAGGTGGGTTGTGTTTGTCTTCTTTGAAACATCCTCTTCTTCTAAATAATGTTTTACGGGTGTCATTCTTTATATCATCATCACTTCCCAATAACCCAGCCCTGCCCCCAGTAGAGAAACGCTGCCAAGCAAACCGCGTGGACCAGGGGCCATGGAGGACAACGTGTGCATGCCCCCCATGAAAACATCTCTTCCTGGGCACTCTCTCTTGCATGTCTGACAAAGAATCTCTTCTTGACTCTCTCTTCCCCTGGGGGGACCTGGTGGAAAAGATAGTATAACCAAGGGAACCCCAGCCTGCTGGCTCCCAGCCCTGGCCAGGCCTCAGCTGCACAGAGGCAAGCCCTTCTCTCCCTGTGCCTCAGTTTCCTTCTCTGCCGACTAAGGGGGCTGGGCTAGATGACTTCTAAGGCCCCTTCCAGCTTTAGCATTTGGAGCTTCTAGGCCAGACATTTAATTATGCAATAATTATACAATAATAATTGTTACTGTATGCCTAACACCCCCATCCCCAATGTGTGGGGAGGAAAATGGGAGGATACAGGGTCTCACCTGTCCCAGAAGCAGTGAAAAGATTGAGCGCAGAATTTGGAGTCAGGGGTCCTGGATTCAAATCCCAGTTCGTTGACTACCTATGTGACCTTAACCTCCATAGGCCTCAGTTTCCACATCTATATAACGAGGTGGTTGGACTAGATGGTCTCTGAGGTATGAGCTGATGACTCCAGAATCCTTTGATCTTTCAGAGAGCTCATGATTAGAGGGGGAACAGGGACGGTGAGGAGGCAGGTGGCAAATGAGGCAGCTGGGGGGCACCATAGAGCACAGGGCACTGAGCCTGGAGCCAGGAAAGCCAGAGTTCAAATCCTACCTCAGACACTTACTAGCTATGAGATGCTGGTCAAGTCTCTTAACCTCTATTTGCCTCAGTTTCCTCATCTGCAAAAAACGAGGATAATAATAGAACCTGCCTCCCAGGCTTATTGTGAGCTGAGATAATATTTGTAAATCACTTTGCCAGCCTCAAGTAGAGGAATAAGTGCTAGCTATTGTGATAGCCTGCAGGGAAAGATGAAGCCTTCTGGGAGGTCCTCAGTACCGGCCCCTAGGAGCTCAGAGGAGTGCCACGTGGCTGTAAGCTGGCCCCGCTGGCCGGGCCTGAATGGGCAGCCTGTAAACGAGCACTAGGGACAGAGGGGAAAGGGAGGAAGGAGGAGAGGTGGCTTGGGAGCCCTTGTGGCTTGCTTCCCGCCGGTTTGAGAATGTGGAGACTCGAAGGGATGGGATCTGCTCTCACCTCTCACCTCTCACCTCTCCATCTGGCTCCTCACGCTCACTTCTGGGAACCCCCTCCCCTGCTCTTCAAAAAGGCCGCTGACCAACCGGACACTCTCCGGAGGAGGCAGACTGGGCCTTATAAGGACTACTGAGGCTAGAGGATGCAGGCTGTTTAGTCTGGAGAAGGGAAGGCTTAGTGGGGAATTCGAGCTGAGCTTTCATGGGGAAGAGGGAGAGAGCAGAACTAGAAGAAATGAGGGCTGGGGAGGAGGACTGGGGCTCAAACTTCCTGATGCTTAGCACTGGCCCCGAGGGGAATGGGCTGCCTGGGGAGGTAGTGAGCTCCCTGTCCTTAGAAGTCATTGAGGACATTCTCGTTCAGTTACAGGCTGGACTTGAGGTCTGTGAAGCCCTTCCCTAAGAAGCTCATTAAGCCATCCAGTCTGATTCCCTCATTTTACAGTGGAGGAAATTGAGGCTGAGTGACTTGTCATCCGGAGGCAAGATTTGAACCCAGTGCTCTTTGCACTCCCAAACCCACAGCTCAGCAGCAGTGAACTCTATGAGCCTGGCTGGAGACTGGAAGCTGCCCAGCTCCGTCTGCTTGTGTGGGCGACCTTTGCTTGGTGACTGCTCCTTCCCTCTCTGGTCTCTGCCCTCTCTCCTCTGCCCAGTCCCCTCCACCTCTGTTCTAGCAGGTACTGGGAAGGCTTGACTCTGTGGCATGTCCCATTAGAACATAAGCTCCCTGAGGGCAGGGACCATTTTTTTGCATTTTTTTTTTCATCATCAACCACAACCACAACAGTAATTTATTAAGAACTTAATATGTGCTATGCACTGTGCTAAGCAATAGGAATAAATACAAGTAAAAAGATAGTTCTTTGCCCTCAAGGAGCTTACATTCTATTAGAGGAAGACATCCCATAAAAGGAAGCTTAGCATAATCTTTAATGGTTTTCTGTGTAGAAGTCTTCTCTTCCAACTTGATCATGAACTTCCCAAGTGCAGGGGTCTTATGTCTTCTCTGTACCTCCCTTCAACAACTACCTTTTTTAAAATTTTCACATTAGTCACATTGTAAGGAAGAATTAGAACCAAATAGGAGGAACCACAAGAAAGAGGAAACAAAACAAAACAGAAGAAAAAATAGCAAATAGTCTGCTTCCATCTGCATTCAAACTCCATAGTTCTTTCTTTGGATGTGGATAGCATTTTCCATCATGAGACCTTTGGAGATGTCTTGGATCATTTCATTGCTGAGAAGAGCTAAGTCCATCAAAGTTAGTCATGCACAGTGTGGCTGTTACTGTGTACAACATT